CAGCCGCTCACCTGCCTTCACCAGCATCCGCACCTACCCAGGGGCTTCCCGTACATAGGCGTAGCCGTGGCGGGCCGCCACGGCTGAAAACCCACCGCCACGCCTACAAGATCCCAAGTTGTGGGGTTTTTTTGTGCTGTTTCCCGAAGAAGCAGAGGGAACTACTATGTTGTCGTTTGTGATCACAGCCAGCGCGCAGCAAGGAGGAGCAGGCAGGGCAAGGTGCAGTTACAGCACAAGCTACTGAGTTTAAAATTGGAAAGGCAGCAGTGGATATAATGCTTTCATTAGCATTAAGATAAACGAGTGTTGACGATCTTGACAGGTTTTCCTCCCCCCGCCAGGCTAAGCATCACTTATTCATGTAAAATTTATTTATTTTTTCATGTCTGACTTTAACCGCATCTAATACTGTATTACGGCGTGAGCACAACAGCGACAACTTAAGATCGATGTGTGAGCAGCCTGAGAGGTCGGGTGTTTTCATCTGAACCCTTAAAACCTCCAGCAGGCTACGCTGCACTATTGACGTGTTAGCGCGCGGAGCTAACAACTTAGCGACGTGACATGTCTCGGAGAAAGCGTAAAAACACGTTGGACGCTTCTTCTGAAGCGGGAAAATAACGGAGCACGACGTCGCCTCGGCTCGTTCACGGCCGAGCCGGACTGAGCTCCATAACATAGACCCAGCACAGCCACTGGGTCGTTGGAGCTGCCCCGTGACTGCCTGATGGGAAACCAGCGGGTTTCATCAGACTCGTAAAGTTTCTTGTTATTGCTGGGGACCCCCTGTATTTTACCGCTCCCTCCTGCAGTCTTCCCCTATTACAATTTAAAATGATTCTGTAAATTCCGTGTATCAATAGAAAAAATCTCTGCCAGCTGCAGTAAACGTAGACTCCAAATAATAAATAAGAGGTACATTCATCTATCTCCGTTGATCCGCATTAGTGATATTCTCAGCACCAGAACAGTGAAGCAAAGAAAGATTCCTGAGTTTGTCAGTAATTTTATTTATTAGGTGCATCTGACCTGTTCTATTATTCTCTGAAATGAGATCAAATCAGTGCATCTATGGGTTGGCTCCACTCTGCACTAGAAAATTTTTCTTTATTTAGAGACGTGTCATAATTTCTCACCCAAGACCCCCCCCCCCCCCCCCCCCAATATGTTGCTCGTAAAAAACGAACTGCAAAGGTCTCTGACTTTCTCCAGTGGTTAATGAATTCCTCCGATCGCCCAAACCGTAACGGAATCTGATGTTTGTTGGAGAACAAACCATGAAAAGTAGCATGATCTGATTTTATTTTATTTTTTGCATCATTTCCCAATTTTGTTCAATGTTTTAGACGTTTGTGATCCATGTACATTAAATAATATAGGTTGGAGATACTGAGGACCACATTTAAAATTGAAAGGATGTCACCTACCCATGGAGGTGGTAATGCAGCGTACTAGACATGTGAATCCACAAAGCTGACTAATTAGTCTGCAGGTGTGACGTGAAGAAGTGGCCTTTGAGTTGTCTGAACGAGCACCGTTCTGCTTCACAGGCAGGTCTAACGCACTGAGAGACCTTTAAACCCACTTTCCTTCAGCACTGTTCCAGTTCGGCTGGTGAACAGCATTGAAGAACACACTGAGCTGGTTTATTTATTTATTTGTTTGTTTGTATTCCTGCCCTCCAGTTGGCTGTGGCGGTTTTAGTAAACAGAAATATTTGTGACTTATTTAAATTTTGGACTTTGAGTAACTTACTGCACGTACTTTTCTTCGCTCACTTCAGTGTGCAACACTCCAAATTAGGTTGCACACACACACACACTCTTTCGCAAATTAATAAAGGCAGAGAAATAATTCCCTAAGCCTTTCATATTTCCTCGGGCGACATCTTCAAAGTGATGTAAAATGTGCGTGCTATTTAGGTACATTAAACTTTTTCACTTTCTGCATCTCTTCTGATGTTTTGTTCTATAGCCAATGGCGAGGCCTCTGCTGCTCTGCTCCCGCTGCAGGTGCCCTGCTCAACTCTAAAAAATAAAAAGGTAGTGCTAAGCAAAGTCGTTGATTTAGGTTCATTAAATTTCCTGTTAACAAGTGCATAATGAAGCATCGTATTGCAGGCTAATGCAGTCTGGATTCCATCTAGAGCACCAGCTAATGGTGCTGTGGGACTTTGTCAAGCAATCAATAATTTGGTGTCTGTGTGAACTCTGCTGCCTCACACACTGAGACGTGACGCAGTGCCACATAGATGGAGAGACACTTTCTGTTTTTTTTTCTTGATACACTCTGTGTTGAATCCCTCAGTGGAGGCTGAACACCATGTGAAACTGTCTTGACATTTTCTGAGCCTCCCTGTATCCTTAAGTGTGTTGCAATTTAGTGCACACGCCACATCAGACCTGTAGTGCATGTCTACCACAGTACACTCAGATCAAAATGATCTTGACATCATATTTATATATAAAATCAGGTGTGTGGGGGATTAATGTTGGTATGAAAGGCTTATCCCTGGAGACCGTAGAAAACAAGACGCACTATAGATGATCCTGTTAGACGTGACAAAGCTTGTTTCGATAAACCATATGGCGTGCAGATTTGTTTTCCTCCTCCCTCGACTGCAGCATTGTGTCCGTTTGGAATCTGACAGACAGGTGTTACAAGTTTTCTGACAACCTATCAGAAATCGCAGAAGTGCAATCACTACTAACCTGCTGCAAGAGAAACAGTGACTGATTCACAAGTCCCTGCTAAGCCAGCAAACTGTTGCAAAAGGGAAGAAAAGGGTGTCTACTGTGAACAAACACATCCCACTCACACCTGCACACACTAACACACACACACACACACACACACACACACACACACGCGCGATTGGAAGCTTATGAGTTTGGACACTTCCCACACTCTTGATACACAAACACCTGCATGCACAGATTCACACGAGCACGAGCTGACTAAAACACACGCATCCAAACATGCCCCAGAGAAGGCTACAGTAAATGAACCTCGCAGGCGTCCAAACCGCCGACATCAATCAGACACACTTCACCGTTCAGCTCCCGATGGATGTCGAGCTGCATCTGTCTACTAAAGCAAGTACTGAACAATTCCAAAGTGATGGAAACCATTTTATGCATATTCGCGTACAGCGTGCCAAACCCGCTGGCTCCTTTCCCGTTCCTCCCAATTCGTGTTGTTCACTGCGGCCGTGCAAGCTGCGGAGCAGTTTGGTTTCTCTGAACGAGTCTTTTTAGGGGGATGCTTTACCTATATGCACAGAACGGTTGTTGCACGGATACACACAGCTGAGCTCCACCACCTCTGTATGGTCCACCTGGGAGTACGGTGCCTGTGAATGCTGGCCAAGACATTTCCTCAAAGCCCTGGGGCTTTTCCTCCCTCGGCAGTGACTGAAAGGGCCCAGGTGCATGGAGCCGACCCAGCCTCAAATACATACAGGTATACGTACATGTATGCAATCCATGACTCCACAAGGCACACATCTTTTATAACAAACAGGATGTCCCCCTGAAGACAACCCTAATGCAGCTTTTACAACTATAATAAAGAATACATGACGACAAGAAAGCTCACGATTAAACCGGAGCAATGAGGACAGCCTCAGAGATGTTTGCCCGTAACAAGATAACGGATCGAACTTGAACTGGACCGCAGCTGGCAGCGAGAGCGAGTTAAGAGCACCACAGGTCAGACAGTTTTCCTCATGCTCTAAAACATCTGATTTATGTGCACCAAAAGCGGCTTTGAACACGCGCGGTGTCGCTGTCTACACGCATTTGGACCCATTTATGTGATGGAAGTAAAACTCAGCAGTCATTTGTTCTTCTGCTGCAATGTTAATATAAAAAACTGATTAATAAAAAGAAAAAAATCCAAAAGATCATTGTGATATAGACAACGCATCTGTGTAAGCTATCCTTTACACTAGTATGGATATGTCAGCGTCACTGTGGAACATCAGAGTAATACAAACCTGATTAGTTAGCACAGACGTTGACACAGGGCCTACATGCTGCAGCAAATAAAAGATTGTCAGCTTTTCGCAGCATGACGACACATTCCAGGATTGCATGTGACAGCCGCGCTCTATGCACTCGGTTTTCAATGCCTGCCACATTCCTCCAGACGTCTAAATCAAAGTATCAAAGCAGACGGATGAGTTTGTGTGTTTGGCTTGCCCGAAGGGACGGAGGGGAGGGAACATGTCTGGCCGAGGCGGCTGTAGCTGGAAAACTGAGCTTCGGTAATACAGTGAGACCGCCGGCTTGAGAGGGAACAAATCTCCGCCTTATCCTCAAAAGCACAGAGTGGCTGTCCTGTTTAACTTGACTGAGACGAGACACGTCCCAGAGAGCTCCGCTGCTCTCACCCTCTACCTCAAACCTCCTCGGTGGACGCTGGGCAAAGTTTACATCTCTTCGACTAACCTGAACTCTTAAACGCAATTTGTGACATAATTACACTAAAAACCAGGAACATAATCACCCTTTCTTTTAATAAATTGGGTGTACACACACTAAAAACCCACGAGGTTACAAACAACCTTGTTTGGGTTAAGTTAGGAACCATTCCATCATACCGGCTGAAGGTTTCTACTCCATCGCTTTCAATCTAAAGTTAGGACTGAGTGGAGAAGAATAACTCGTAATGTGATTTGTCACAAGTGTCTGGGTGAAATAGATTTATGGATTTTTGAATTTAAAAAAACACTTAAAATGTTTCTAAAAGCAATTCAACAAAAATGTATGTCGTTCAACTAAAGTTTTTATTGATAAACAGACATAGGTGAGAATAAATAAAACTACCCAATATTAGAGTTTAAAGATGAGCCCAGCTGGGGTTTTCTTATCTAATATTATTGAAGGAAATTCTAACTCCCAGGATTAATCTTGAGGATGTTTCCTAACACAAAGGCCAGCTCTATAGCATAATTCTTTTATTGCTTATGGAATGGTGTGACTTGGATTGCTTACCGTAAACTCCTTGGCCACGAACCAGAGGTTGGACACTGATAAAAAACAATATCCAGAAAAGTTCCATGTTCAGCTCAGTTCCGTCATAACCTGAGACAGAGAGAGAGAGAGAGCGGGTGAGGGATGGGAGGGGAGGGGGACGCGGCCAAGTGAAACCGGAGAGGACAGCTGAGTGTTCGTACTGAAAACAAAAAAGTTACTTCATCTATTTTACTCTTCATTATTTGTCTCTTTCATCCATGTAAACCGTAAAAACGACGTTAGGGAACAAATCCGCCGCCATCAGTTTAAAGGGCGGGTAATTCATTCACGACATCGTGGATTATACAAAGCTCACAAGCGGGGCTGCGTGTTAGAGAATAGGAGATTGACAGGATTGGAGAGGTCTGGTTCAGCGTGACCACCCCCACCCACCCCACTGGTGCAGGTGTGTTCAGGACAGGAGGGATTAGACTGCAGCATCCACGGCGGATTAAACACAGGTGGGGTCGTCCTGCTCTCTGGACAACCCCCCCCCCCCCTCCCCCCTCCCTCCCTCTGTCACACAGCAGCATCTTCATGTTCCCATGGGGGACAAGTTCAACTATAAACGGACATAAAAGCGTTTCAAATTGTCCAACACACTATTGTAGGGAAGAATGTTTCATTACATGTTTTAGTTTTAGACACATTCTAGAAAATGAAACAATTTAAATGAGAAATAAAAAATGTAACTTTAAGTGGAACACGAGGGGTTATCACTCACGTTTCTGTCTGAAACGCCTCTTGGAGACACATCTCAGCTCTGTTGGGATGCGTAATGTGCGCGCGCTGTCATTAAACTTTAATTATGACGCACGAGAATTAATGGGAATGACATTTAACTTTGATGTACTCGTAATTTTTTACAATATTGATTGAAATAAAATCCAAATAGCGAAAAGTCGCAGATGAAGAATTACGCTATTAATCCATAAAGTCTACTTTGGGATTGTTGAGTAAAATACCTCTATTTTAACCGCGCCAACAATTAAATACAGTGGGGTTTTATTTTACATTTTGAATGAACTACAGTTGAGAATCCTATGGGTACATTTTGAAGGGTTAGTGGAAGCCCCGTGGTTACTCTGATCTACCTTGTCTCCGAAGGCGCAGCGCACTCTTCGCGCAGAATTCCTCCGCTCTCCAGGAACACCAGTTGAAAAGTGATATCCCTTTTCCCAAGTGAGCGTCCAATGGCAGGCTGGAAAATTCCAATTGAGTAGATGTTATATCACCTCCGAAAGATTTCCCTCTCAAACTTTTTTATTCAGAGACGGTCAGCGGCGTGTCGCCGATTATTGGTTCCACACAGTCCCGCTTCTCAAAGATGGAAGTTAAAAAAAAACACTCAAAAGATAAAACAACCTAAAGGAGTTTTTTTAGAGGGAGAGAGGATAAAACACTACACCCAGTTCAGCGTATCTATGACTTATTTACTGTGAATTGCGGGGGTTGGTGCGGGTTTCCTGCCTCTTCCTGTTCGCTTCAGGCCGGTGACAGCCCCTTTAGGTGATGCGCTCCGACTGAGAGCTCCCCTCAGCGTGTTCAATCAGCGCTGTGTCTGTGGAGTCCGAGAGATGCTGGCCAAGTGGAATGTGCGCAGACTGAGAACGACCGCCCCTGCCTGTGCGGGAGAGGGAGGGAGGGAGGGAAAGGAGGAGGAGATGGAGAGAGGGAGGAGATGGAGGACCGAGACTTGCACAGGGATGCGCTCAAGCTTCACAGCTTCACTCTGAACAGGTTGTCAAGAATAGCACCACTCCCCTGTCACCTCCTCCACTTTACTCTGAACCGAGGTGCCACGGGGTGTTTTGGACATCCGAAAGAGGCGCAGCGTTTATCTCCTTGCTGTCCTCTCATTCTGTTTCACAGCTGTGGTGCCAATTAGCTGAACGGCGCTCAGAAAGTTCTCTAGTTCAATGTAGGAGCGCAAAAACCCACCAACCCCATGCGTGGACTATTACAAATGAAAGCAAAAACACTAACAAGTCCACACGCACACAGACACACACGTGTCTCTGTCTCCGTCTCTAAGCTCTCACGACAACAGAAGTGTCCTTGTGAGTTCACCGTGAGGCCACTGGAGGGCGTGTTTCAGGTCACTATCATTATCAGCATCCTCCCGTGACGCTCATGCGCTTTTGACTGGCTTGTGTAGGGAGTGTGTAGCAATTCATCCGTGCGCGCGTCATGACGGGGGTCGTGCGCAAGGAGGAGGGATGTTTGGACACCGAGCTGCGCATCCGTGAGCAACAGGAAATACTGAAAGGAAATTCCCGTTCCTTAACAGACGGCGTTTCATTTTAGAATGCACACGGTGCGTTTCTTGCAAACTTGCTATAAAACATGAAACAATAAATAATATAAATTAAATATCTAGTGGCTGATCAAGAAAAGTGTTGATTGACAGAAAGAGAAGAGAAAATGCTCTAAGCATCAGGAGCCTTTAGACAGAATGTCAACACGTTCATTTGAGGAACAGCTTCCATCTTTGATCTAAAGTGGATTACAACTGATTCTCTCATTATTCGCTCAGATTAAATACACCAACTACACCTTAAACTTTAGGTCTCGGTGCTGATATCTGCTTGGTTAATGAATTTTCTTTGGTCCTGGCTTGTTGTTATCATTTGCATGTTATTAGTTATATTATATGAAGCGCCTGCTATGTACGCACACACACACACACACACACACACACACACACACACACACACACACACACACACACACACACACACACACACACACACACACACACACACACACGTAGTAAGACATTATTTTGCTCATATAGTTTGATGTGGCTTTAAGGCTCCAAACAACTAATGTCTTAGCTGTTGGTTCTTTTAATAACCTTAGAAAACACAAGTGAGCTCTGACTAGACTTGTGTAAAGTAACAGTGCTAGCTGTAGCCATTTGAAACAATTGTATTACCAAAAATGCTAAATTTGTTTATATTGTTTTCTAAAACGTAACATTACAACACAAAACATAACGTTTAAAGGGCGACATGTAATCTAAAACTCACCCTTTGCATCATTTTGTGTTGCCATCTCTAATGTCTTTTTAAACACTGCATACATGAAAATAAAACATCCAGCCATGTTCTGTCAATGATCAGTTTTAGGTATGATGTGACTAATAGAAGCCTTTTTAAAAGTTCCCTGTTTGTGACATCACATGTGGGGGAATTAGAACAGAATCACCACTCAGCTGTAGAAGAGCAGCTGCAACTGGAGGTGCATCAGCTCTCCTCTAAGTCCCTCCCCCAGATTTCACAGCTTCTCAGCTCATAGCAACCAATCAGGTGATGGGTGGGCGTGGCCAACAAAAGCTTGTTCTTCTCAACCCGGGTTTCCACAGGAGCCGTCAGCAGCACGTCTTGCTCGCGTAAGCTGCTGCTTGGCCCTTCCCACGAGACGCGAAGCAGCAGGGGAGCAGCTGTCACCGACAGAGCACGCAGTCACACGAGTGACTTCGTCAGTAAACACAACAACAAGCAGGAGAAAATTACAACATGGCTCCAAAAGGTTTGTGTTTTATGTTCTGTCTGTTTTATAATCGCCAATACGGACCTGAAAAACAAAGGAGACCGCTAGCTAGGCAATAACTTCTCACGGGGCCGCACATTTTTAAAAGTAAAGCAACCAGAAGGCAGTACGTTTCTTAATTCTGAAAATCTCGGGAGCTTCTCTCCGTTTCCGCGTCCGATTTCCTGTCTTTCCTTCGCCAAAAATGTCGAACTTGACCCGTTTCAGAGGCGTCGCGCATAGAAAATAGAACCAGCGCGTAAGGGCCGCGACATGCTGCTCCTGAGACGCGGCCGACTCGCGCTGCTGACGGCTGCTGGCGGCTCCAGTGGAAAAGGTTCTGTTGACCACAGCGGTTCCTATCAGAAGCTATGACGTGCTGCTGCAGTAACGTGCTGCTGACGGCTCCTGTGGAAACCCGGGGTTAGAGTGACAGGGCCCTGAAATGGCTCATTCTGGAAGGTATTAAAACATTTTTTTGAATAAAATCAGGTTGATTTGTCTCTCTAAAATTGTCTTTAGGTGTGAGTGTGTGTGTGCTACCCCGCCTGTTTGCTGGAAAACAACTGGAGATAGGCAACTCTCTTTAAATTATTGTGTTCTAAAAATACCAACAGCTTTATCGTGAGAGGTGCTATATAAAACACCAACAGCTTCAACCTTCCTCATCCATTCATAAGTCTTCAATTTGATTTAATCTGGATTTTGGCAGAATTTACAAAGCAATCTATTTGATTATTTGACTGAACCATGATCATCATCAGTGGGGATAAAATGTTTTACAAAAGCAAACTCTTCACCGTTTTCCTGCCAAACACGGCGACAACATTTAAACCCTTCAGTCATGTCTGGGCTTCCGTGAGCTGTAAGCATTTGAGGATTCATCTTGACATTCCCAAGCTGAATCAAGACCCTCAGTAATTACTTAGCATCCTCAATTCAAATAAATCCTTTGCTCAGAATAAACTAAATCATGGGATCTGGCTCCAGTAGCTCTTCACTTCCTTCTCCTCTTTGCCCCTCGTTTTGGACCACATCCAGCAGTCTTGGCATGTCTTGCAGAGGGCGCATCATTCCTGCTTATGGCAATGAATCTCAAAGAACAACATGTTGTAGGAACAACCTTGGGTTGGCGCCACACAGAAACACATTACACACACATCCAGAAAGGAGAAGTGAGAATTGCAGGAGTAGCAGTGAGCTAACAAGAGAAGCACAAGACCAAAACAAAATACTGCACTTGCCAACTTCTCCATGTCTGACTCCGATATGAGATAGCACACACAGTCCTGGCTGGATGGAGCTGCTGTTCAAGATCATCCAGTTCCCACTGAGGCCACCTGTATTTCCCCTCCGCTGTTACTTTTATTTATTTGTGAGTTTTAATATCCTGCTTGTGTCAGATTTGATAATATTATTGAAAAGCAACTAATTAAATATAGTGTAGCTTCATTTTGATGGTAGCCTTTAATTAAAATATCATTTCTAAACATTTTCATGGTAGAAAAGGCGTTCTTTTAAGTGCAAGGATCATTTGATCAAACAGGATGATTTTCTAACAAGTCAATTCATATTTAGCCAAAAATTTCACACAAATTTTGTTTTAAACATATTTTTAATCTTTTTTTAATATTTATTATATTTTAAAAATATATATTTTTGTGAAGCACCTTGTGATCTTTATCTTGAGAGGTGCTATATAAAATATTGTTTTTTTTCTTTCTTTCCAAAGTGCTCGTGTAATAGAACCAAAAGCAAAACTTATCTCCTCGCTGTGCGTTTGTCTTTTTAACACTTTATTCTAACAGCTGAAACATCTCCCCAGCCTTCATTAGTGTCTACAGGAGTGATTCATCACTAAACTAAACAAATCAGCTGTGTTCAGGATCCAAAACATGCAGGAAACGTGCTGGAAGCAGACTGCAGCGCCAGGTATGTCAGCTCTATTTTTTTCTAAGTCCAACAAACAGGACTGGAACTCTGAAGTTGCAAATGCTGTTTTCTAGCCACAGAGGACAGTGGGGGTCTGAGTGACATTTCAGTAACCATGTAAAGGGTCGTTTTAGCACCTGCTGGCTCAAGAAATTTATTTAAAAATATGAAAAAGTATCCCTTTAAATATATTGTTCAATCTAACAAATCCCAAAGTCATGTTAAACAAATGCCGTTTTAGAGCCGACGCCAACTTTACTGGTGTTCTTCTCCATCACAGCTCTGACGCCGTCAACTAATTTCGCCCAACATTTGTGAAACGCTGTGATTGGCAGGATAAAAAACTGTTCTGGCTAATGGTAAACCTGCTGAGGTTACACTGGAGCATGGCTAGATCAACCTGCAAAGCAAAACCTTTCTGCAACATTTCCAGGCTAATGAGAGACAGAGGCAGTTTGTCTTACCAGGAAAGAAGAAAAAACATATCCTTGGCTTCAAGTGGAAGCTTTTGGCGTAATGCTGTTGTGTTTTATATCACTGAAATATCATCATACAAATAAATAAAATACCAGCATCATGTGCATATTTGCTGATTAATTTATGTACAAGCTAGAAATGAGCTTACATGCACTTTTTATACATAAATATTCTTTTAAAGACCAAGTTCACCCATTTTTAAATACCACATTTTCTGCAACATAAGGCTCACCTGATTATACGGCGCCACAGCCAATCAGCGTCCTAGTTAAAGGTCTGGTCCGCACATAAGGCTCACTGGATCAAAACACGCACACAGCAAAGCAAATGAGCGTCCCGTTCAGCACAATTAAGGCAAATTGGGCAATTAGATCAAAGTCAAACATTACTCCACTCATTATCTATACTAAAAAATAATTTCTCATTATTAAAGTAACATAAATGTCCCAATTTAATGCACGGGTGCTTTTAGCAGCAAGAATGAAGATTTAAACTCTGGTAACGGCATGACTGACTGAACGCAGCCCTAAGCCCCTCTTACCGCTGCAGGACAGAATGAACAATCAGACGTATGGCTGTTTAACAAACAAAAGTCCCATTTTTACGCGCAGGCACGGCTGGAGCAAAGATGCGCAT